TTATTTTTATTTTTTAATTAAGTTAATAGAGTTATTATCTTGTAAAATAAAATAAAATTTAAATATTACAAAAAATATATTATATTATTTAATTAAATTATCTTATAATTAGATTTTATTTTGTAATCGATTAATTTAGATGGTTTGAAAGTAAAACCATAAACTAAATTACTTATCTGTTTTAATTTTATAATTCAAATCAATCTAATTTTATATTAATTTAAATTAATTTTTAATTAAATTAAATCAATTTAAATTGAATCAATCAAATTGTATCGGATATGAAGAGGATAGTAACTCGCATCGCATCCAGAAGAATCTGCTTCTAGGATTCCAGCTAAGCAGTGGACAATTTGTCAAAAATGAAAGATTCCACGCCGCAACTTCTGTCCTTTTTTCCTTGCTCCTTCCTCCTCCCTCCTCCTTCTTGCCCTCTTTATTTTCAATACCAAAACTCTCTGCATTCAATACAGTACAGTGCTTTGTGATGACGATGTTTAAATACTGAGGTCTTCAAATTTGTTTCTTTCAAAAATATCTGAGCCGTTGGTAATCAGTTACTATTTCTCTGCATCCCCCTTCGTCTCCTTGTTTTTTGGGCGTGCCTTTTTCCTTGTTCCTTTTTCCCTTTTGGTTTTCTGGTCCTTTTCCTTTTTGCTTTTAGTTTTCAATATGGTGAGCAATTGAAAAGCTTTGACTTTGAATGTTTATGTTTCTATGGGTTTTTTCTTTTTTTTTTTTAATCTTTCTAATGTTATACGATCTTGATTGACCTATGAAGGCAAAGAATTGGAACTATGAATTCAATATTTTTTTCACACTCTAAGGGATTCTTTGGTTTTGGACAATCTTCACACAGAACAGCAACTGCAGCTGCAATTCAGCTTATAATCATTGATATGATTACTTTTTTTTTTTTGCAGGATTTTTCAGGTATTCCATTCTTGATTAAGGTATCAGCTGAGGGTATATTAGCCTGCAATTTGAAAATGTATATGGTTGAGAGCAAAGGCGGTGCCATAGTATGCATGCTGCTAGCTCTCTTTTTCTTGGGGACATGGCCTGCCCTTATGACTCTCTTAGAAAGACGTGGTCGTCTTCCTCAGCACACTTACCTTGATTATACCATCACAAATCTCTTGGCTGCTGTAATTATAGCTCTAACTTTTGGTGAGATTGGCTCAGAAAGGCCAAATTTTAGTAATCAAATATCTCAGGTGAGTTTCCTTTTATATAAGGATACAACTCAGCCTATGAATAGATTGTCTCTCAATTCCAAGTAAAAGGGAGTGAAATTCCTTTGTTCTCTTCAAAATTGTTTTAATGAGTTATGTTAATTGCTTAGGTGATGTGCTCTTAACGAAATGATTGCAGATGGGCCGAAGACAAAAAGTTTATGTCAATAATAGTAAATCTTTTCAAATAGAGAGGGGGAGGAGTTGTAATGAATTTTCCTTCAATTCCGTGTAATCTGAATTTTTTTTTTCTCCTTTAAGTTGTCTCTTTTGGTAAGCAAGTAAGGTGCATAGATATCTATTTAGCACTATTTTACCATGATATCTAGTTTGCACTACTAACTGGCCATATGTTATATGCATAATAACCTGGCTATTGGATTATTATAACCTTGTGTAAGATATTTTTATGCAATGACTCTTAGGTTTTTTTTTTTTTCCTTTTTGATTGGCCCAAGGACTGTTAGCTTGGATAGAAGAAGTAAGTTAATTTTATCTATCAGTCTGCCATTTTTTTCTTCCTGTTTAATTTAACATTTACCGGTATTTGAGATAGTGTGCCAATCAAGCATTGATACCATTCTTATTTTACGTACCTTCATTGGGCATCAGTTACCAGTTTTGCTTATCTTCAGAAGTTATTGATGTATAGACATGATTATTCTATTTGAAAAGGTATAATATTACTCAAAGCTGGTTATTGATGCAGTTGCAGGAGAATTGGCCCTCAGTTTTGTTTGCGATGGCTGGTGGGGTAGTTCTCAGCCTTGGGAATTTATTGACGCAGTATGCTTGGGCTTTTGTTGGCTTGTCGGTTACAGAAGTTATAACTGCAAGCATTACCGTTGTTATTGGTCTGTTTCATATGCACAAGTCTTCTGCATGATAAAAGAAAATGATATTTTTGGGATTTATTTTTAGTATACTGAATATCTTAACTATATCTACATTGCTTTGATTGAACAGGCACAACCTTGAATTACTTCTTAGATGACAAAATAAATAGGGCAGACATCCTTTTCCCTGGTGTTGGTTGCTTCTTTATAGCTGTTTGTCTTGGATCAGCTGTCCACTCATCCAATGCAGCAGACAACAAAGCAAAGCTAAACAAACTTGAAAAGTATGCATGCCTCAGTCTTCTAAATGGATAGCAAAATGTGTCATATGTGATATGACTATTTTTCCCAAAATCATTTGCTCGATCTTGTATCTAGTTGATCAATCATATTTCTATCCTTCTCTGATTCTCTTCCATTTTCTTTCTCTGTTTATAATGTCAAAATCATTTTATTTTGTTTGCATGTCTTAAATAACCACAGTTGTATTGTTAGATTAGGTTAAGTAACCAGAATCTGTAATTGTTATCACTACTTGCACTTATATTTTATGAAACAATGCCCTAAATATAAGAGAACTATAGGAGCCAATGTAGGACAGGACAGTAAAATATTTCTGTGCTGTAAAGGCATTTCAATTGGCTTCTGTTGCTGCAGAGATGCTAATTAGCTTTTCTGTGTCCGCATTTGGATAAATTGATTAACTAACCTTTGTCCGTTATAATTTTTGTGTAAAGAAGAGTGGATAAATTGTTTCAGACTCTATAGTCCAGATGTATTGCAGTAGGAAATAAAAATAACTGCATTTGATAACGTTTAACTCATTTGCTCTTTTCTTTTCAGGGCTGGAGATTTCTCCACATCCAAAGAAGCAATTCCAAACAGGGGTATGAAGCTATAATAACTCATCTTTCTTGGCTCACTTCATTTTCTAAGAATCCTTGGTTACTAAGCTTTGATTAACAGATCCAGAGAATGAGAATGTTGCAGTAGAGAAGACAAAAGCTGGAACTGCTGACTTTCTTATAGAACTTGAAAACAAAAGAGCAATCAAGGTAAGGGTTTCTCTTTATCATTCAGGGACTGCAACTCAGAAAAACATCATTTTCTTTTGCTCCTACTATTTGGTATCAAAGGGATCAAAACTGTGCAGTTCTTTGCCAAGCCGCTGATAAAAATAAAATACAGTTAACTAAGCTCTCAATGTAAACTCTTTGCTAACCAAAGGGGACAATTATTTCCATTGCTTACATAAACACGAAAGAAATAATATCTTTTATTCTCTAATAATTGGTCAACTTTTACTCACAGGTGTTTGGAAAGAGCACTTTCATTGGATTGGCCATAGCTTTCTTCGCTGGGGTTTGCTTTTCCCTTTTCTCACCTGCATTTAACCTGGCAACGAATGATCAGTGGCATACTTTGAAGAAAGGGGTTCCTAAGTTGACTGTCTACACGGCATTTTTCTACTTTTCGATCTCTTGTTTTGTAATTGCTCTCGTCTTAAATATTGGCTTCCTATATTACCCTGTACTCAACCTGCCCAGATCATCCTTTAAGGCTTATCTCAGGGACTGGAATGGCAGAGGCTGGGCCTTTGCTGCTGGGTTATTGTGTGGCTTTGGGAATGGTCTTCAGTTTATGGGAGGTGAAGCAGCAGGATATGCAGCAGCAGATGCTGTTCAGGTTGGCTTTTAAAGAAAATTTGCTTCATGCTTAGGATAAAGGAGCATTATATGGTTTAGATCATTTTAAATAACTTCCTTAGAGAGATCATTGACTTAACAAATATGCAATCCTGTTTGTTTTGTTTCTTGTATATATCTTCCATGCTTAATTTCATCTAAATTTGGCATGGTGATTTCAGGCACTTCCACTTGTGAGCACATTCTGGGGCATACTTTTGTTTGGAGAGTACAGAAGATCCTCAAGAAGAACCTACATATTGCTTGTGAGCATGCTGTTTATGTTTATTGTGGCTGTTGCTGTTCTCATGGCATCAGCAGGGCATCGAAATGAGTGACCAGTAGCTTTAATTCATCCCAGAAATTGTAGAAATCATTCCCTGATGAAATTTCTGAAGAACTACATTTTCTCATTTTAGGTTGTTATGATGCCTGCAAATATGAAAAGGGTATCAATAAGTTGCTTTGAAAGGGTATTCCCTGACACGATGTACACAAGCTTCGGCTCTTTAATTCTTTGCAAATACGAGAGTCATTCTCCTAAGTTGTCAAATATGAAAATAAAAAACATTCATGTGAAATATGAATATATTTATGATTTTTGTAAGAAACTAAAGCAGAGAGTAAATGTGAAGAACTGTGTTTTACTTCTTGTATTGTAATTTGTAATCTGTACAAAAGGCCAAAATGTGCCGAAAATACATAGTTGCAGCTGGGCTCTCCACCTCCTCGGCAGCCCGGTCTGATCATGGAAAGAATACCCTGCTGGGTACTCAGCCCTGGGAGGGACATAAAGTTCAGAAGAAAATCGAGCAAAAGGTTATATTAGGGAAAACTCTTCCTCAAGATATGGAAGAGGTATGAGTTATGAAATTGCCATACTATATACAGAGGGAGATTATTCCAAGACATGAATACAACTTGAATGTTTACAAGTTAATTGCGCAATAAACAACAATCTTTTCTTATCTTTTAACTCATTTTATCTACATACTATGTGATTAATATTTTTTATTTTTAAAATAAATAGATAATTACTAATTATTTAACTTATTTGCTTATAAATTATATATCTAAATTAGTCACAAAAGTAAGTCCTAAAAATCTGCGAGCTAGCCGTCGGACCACTGATTCTCAATGAATTTGACTTTGGGAAATCTTGCTAGAATCAAGGGAATCAAATCTTGTAGTGATTTTGAATTAATCGTTTGCCTTGCTTTAAGGGGATATTGTTGGAGTCAATCCTTGAATCATGGCCATACAAATCATCCTTGAGTTGAATCTGACCTGAGCCAGGCCAAGTTAGGTGCACATGTCAGAGAAGGCTTTTTGTGGTAATTGTGGCTTGGTAAAGATAACAGCTAACTGAGAACTTGATGACACATAACGGGTAATGAGATTGCCCAATGCTACTTTTTCTCAAATAGAATGGTAGTCCATCCCAGTGTGCTTTGTTCGACCGTGAAGTATTGGATTAACTGTCATATACAGATAGTGCACTCATGTTGTCAGAGTGGAGTATTAGAGGTTTTGAGAAGGTGATACCAATGTCTCGAAGGTAGGAAAGCAAAGTTAGTTCAGCAGACGTACACGCCCTTGATTTATACTCGGCTTCCACACTTGAGCAAGAGACTGTTGGCTGCTTCTTTGCGCACCCGGAAAAACAATTGCCCTTAATGAATGTGCAATATTTAGTCGTAGATCGACACCTAATGGGACAATCGGCCCAATCTGCATCAGAAAAGGCATAAAGAGTAAAAAGTAGTTTGTGATGTAAATATTGCCTGTGAGAAAGTTGTTTTAAGTTTATTGTGGCAGTTGCGGTTGTCATGACCATTGCCTATGACGTGGTTAGCTATGTTCTTTTGACTACGATGCACATCTCAACAAATTGCTTGAACAAGTATTCCCTATGGTAGAACCTGGCCCCCTGGCCCCCAGATCAAGTGGCTTGGACCACTCATTCCCTCCTCTTTAAGGACAATGGTTCGAGCTGGTGACAAAATATTAAAAAAAAAAAAAAAAGTACTCCCTACGGTATAAAACTATATTAGAATCTCTGCCAAGACAAAAGAGGTGAAATAAAAAATGCCAGTAGTCATGGACCGGCATCAATAATCAACTCAACCTCCACCACTATCTTTCTTTTTCATTTTGGTTATAATTTCAAAGTAAAAGGATAAGAAAAGAGTTAAAAAGGAGTTAAAAAGGGGTTGAAAATAGTCTCAATTTAATATTTTTACTTTTAAAAAAATCTTATTTTAGTCATTTTCTTTTGAAATTTTTATCATTCTATGTCAAAATTTGATGAAAGAAGTAAAAAAGACTTAAATTTTAAATTTTAAGAACAAAAAAAGAACCTTTTTAAGTAGAAGAATTAAAAAAATATCTTTTATCAAAAGAAATGAACAAATTGACGTTTTAACCTTTTCAATTTTCTTTTTTTTCAATTTTCTTTAAAAAATTCTGCATCATATATTTCTTTTCATTCCATTTTAAAACAAGACGAGATGTTGGTGCCCACTCTAGTAGGTGGTTGTTGTCGCTTTCAAATATTTCATGATTATTAATATATGAAAATTTTAAAATAACATTTAAAAGTATTAATTTATTGATTCATTTTAATTTTTTAATTAAATAAATATTAATTATTTTATTAATTAATAATCATTGATTATAATTGCTAATTATTTTTATCAATAAAATAAAATAAAATTAATATTTTAAAAAATAATATTTTACAATTTTAATAATCTTTCTTATTGGTTACCAATTTCCCTACTTTAAGTTTGAATAAGACTTGGGTCTGATTGCTTGGAATGATTGTCCACGACAACTTACCGTGTCAACTTTTTCTAAGTTGAAAATTATGTTGTGTAACTTTTTAATTGATGTTGCACCAAAGGAACTGACTAGGCATGAATCTTTATTTTATTTTATTTTATTTTATTTTGAAAGGCAAACTAGGCATGAATCTTTGTTATGTATGAATCTCTATTTTTACATTCTTGACTGCAAAAGGGAATCATTGAACCCAATCCTCCCTTAAATCCAATTATTAATTTTGCGCACTCCATCAAAATCCGGACTACACAAAACATTTCTTTCTTGTTATCGTGTAATGTCTTTATTTTTGTTGAAAAATATCTTCCTATTAATATTCATAGCTTGAATTCTTCAATCCACAGCACGCGCTTTGACCTTTTGCACCCTTCCTTCCAGCTGCAGCTTTCAAGACACTAACCAATTACTGAAAAGGCAGATATTTTTGGAACATTGACTCGAAAGAATTAAGAGACTTGCGAACTCTGCTGCTAAAAAAAAATTAAAATATTTGTCAAGTTTTAATCTTTTAATTTTTAATTTTAAATATTTTTAGTTTTTAAATTATTTTCTCACTTTTAAGCCTCTAAATTATAAAAAATATATTTTTAATTATTTTATTAATTAATTTGTTAGCTTTTAAACTTTTATGCATATTTAGACAAATTTAATAAATTAATTTACACAAAGGTTAAAACATCCATTTTTCAAAGTTGAGAACTAAAAAAAGTGTAAAAAAGAATCGAGGGACGAAATTTATTTAAAATTAAAAGTTGAGGGACTAAATGTGGCATTTAACCAAAAAAGGGACTTGCTCACTCGAATATAGTATCCTGCATCCAATCCAAGAGAATCTGCTGTTATATGGATTACAGTAACATTCCATCAATCACTGAAAAACAGAATTGAATCGACATGTACCTGGTAGAGAGCAAAGGAGGAGCCATAGCATGTATGCTGCTTTCTCTCATCTTCTTGGGCACATGGCCTGCAATCATCACTCTGCTAGAAAGGCGAGGCCGTCTTCCTCAACACACTTACCTTGATTACACCTTCACCAATCTGTTGGCTGCTGTGATTATAGCTCTAACATTTGGTCAGATTGGCAGCAGCACTCCTGAGAACCCCAACTTCTTCACCCAACTTTCTCAGGATAATTGGCCCTCTGTTCTGTTTGCCATGGCTGGTGGGGTGGTTCTCAGCCTTGGCAATCTCTCCACACAGTATGCTTGGGCATTTGTTGGTTTGTCAGTGGTACAAGTGATCAGCTCAAGCATGACTGTTGTTATAGGCACCACATTGAATTACTTCTTAGATGACAAGATCAACCGAGCCGAGATCCTTTTCCCTGGAGTTGGCTGTTTCTTGATTGCGGTTTGTCTTGCATCGGCTGTTCACTCATCCAATTCAGCTGATAACAAAGCAAAGCTTCGTCTTAGTAACTATTCAACTTCTGTAGGAGCTCAAGACTCTTCTGCATCAAAAGAAGGAAACCAAAACAATGGTAATTAAGATCCTACTCTCTCCTCTGTGTTCTTCAATATCTTATCTTCTCCCTGATCATCTTTATTTACCATCTCACAGGAAGGGAGGATCTGGAGAATGGGAGGAATAGTAAGGCAAAAGCAGGAACAGCAGACTTCCTTATAGAGCTTGAGAAGAGAAGGGCAATCAAGGTTTGAGATTCCACTCAATTTTAATAAATGCTGTTCTTTCTTTTTGTTGGTACCCCATACCTAGATGGAACTGACATGGTCAGCGCGTTTATCCCTTTCTAGGTGTTTGGAAAGAGCACTTTCATTGGACTTGCATTAACTTTCTTTGCTGGAGTTTGCTTTTCCCTCTTCTCACCGGCATTCAACTTGGCAACAAATGATCAGTGGCATACCTTGAAGAAAGGGGTGCCGCACTTGGTTGTTTACACCGCATTTTTCTATTTCTCATTGTCTTGTTTTGTGATTGCCCTCATCCTAAACATCAGCTTTCTTTACCGTCCTGTGCTGGACACGCCCAGAACATCATTTAAGGCCTATCTAAAAGATTGGAAGGGCAGAGGGTGGGCCTTCCTGGCAGGGCTTTTGTGTGGGTTTGGGAATGGTCTGCAGTTCATGGGAGGTCAAGCTGCAGGATATGCAGCAGCAGATGCTGTTCAGGCACTTCCACTCGTGAGCACTTTCTGGGGTGTGCTTTTGTTTGGAGAGTACAGGAGATCATCTGGAAGAACATACGTATTGCTTTTTTGCATGTTGTTCATGTTTGTTGCAGCTGTTGGAATCCTCATGGCATCATCAGGGCATCGTAAATGAGTTTTACTTGTATCTACAAATTCAAGAGCCATTATTTGTTACAAAAGGCAGACCAAATAGATAATTAAGAGCCATAGCCAGCTAAAAGCAGCAGTGCAAAGGGCCAGAATTGGTGTAAGGCCTAAAGATAATTTCCTGATGATTCAAAAGTCTTCAGAAGATTATCCTCAAATATAGGAGTAGTGATTTACAATACAGATGTAACATGTTAAGGATTACTGGATTTCACACACTAATACAAGCTATAAACATTCCTAATGCCATGCCAAGCATTCTTGCCACTGTTTCTTTGCTTCCTTTATGTTAACATTTAAAAATAAAGTCAATACTCAAAGCAAGCACTATCGCAAATGCTAGTGCTTTAGCAGTATTTATTCAAATATTGGAATCACTTTCAAGGTAGCTTAGCAGATGTATCTGCTAAATTACTTTGCTCAACAGGTAATCAGATCGAAACACAAAGTGGAGAAGGACAATTAAGATATTCAGATCAAACCTTCATTACGGAAAGTATTAGCTATATATATATATATATATATCTCCTATGAAAAAGGAGAAAACAGATTCTCCTGCAGTAGTAGTGTAGCGGGTGTGTGTGTTCCTGCAAGATATTGATAACCTCATTCTGCAACATGCATAATGCATGACAGGTTGTGTGTATAGTCAGTAGATTTAGTATTTAAGAACTGAATTTGAAGTGAAAGAGAAAGAAAGAAAACCCTAAGATAAGGTAAGTAGAGCATTTGACATAAACAGTCTAAGCATTAAGCATTTACAATGTACTTGAATCAATTTTCAAATCTATTCATTTTTTAACCGAACCAAACAGTGGTTTTGGAACTGGAGGTCTGAGTTCAAATACACTCAGCTCATTCTCGAATTCCAAAACAGAAAATTAGAGAACAATGTATAGAGATTTTATTAATTGATACATATAGGCACCGGTTGTCTCATCTGAAAAGCAATACTTCTCAGTTATTGCAGTTTGAATATATTAATCATCCTTGACCCAATAAACAGAATTAACCATAGGGGAAAAACGCATTAGGAATGACATTTCTAGTTATTTCTAAGATTCAGAAAGGCATTCTATTTGCATAACTATGATTCAAATTACCCAGTTTTATTATTTAAAAGAAAAAAGAAAAGAAAAAAATGGAAACTTTAAAAGCTAAAGTCAAGCAAAACCTTTTCTTATTAATACTGATCATGAAAATACACTATAAAATGCTTCTTTACATAACATATATAATAAAAGATCAAAACTGATTCACTTGTCTGGTAAAATGATAAAACTTGAAGTGTGGGCTTAGTAGTCTAGCAAGTGGATGTAGATCCAAAGTCTGAAAGAAGACACTTGAGCAAAGTGATAAAGGATAGGACTCTTTCCAATAGACCATCCTTTCCAGGATCCCATTTCAAGGAGATTGTAATTAGGCAACGATTTTTCTTGACTGAAAATAAATTAAATCTAGTACTGTAGACAATTATTTTTATATATGATAGTAATAAAAAAGAATTAATAAAGACAAACTGAGTGTAGCATGACATAGAGCCTAATATAAAAATCAAAATCATAAAAATTTTTTAAAAAATTATAGAAAAATATAAAGGTAAAAAAATAGAAAATATGAAAATAACAAAACAAAACAAAATAAAAAAGAAAAGAAAGGAAAAATGAGAAAAAAATTAATAAATTTCTGTTTAAACGAATTTATATTAATTTGCTTTTATATGTTTTTCAGGACTTGTTTGCAAGAAATAAAAGTAACAAAAGTCTGAGTTCTGAGGATAGGATTGAAAAAAAAAAAAAAAGGACTCAATTGAAGAACATGAGAAAAGGAGCACTAAATTGGAAGAAAAGAAATGAAAGAACTCAAGTCAGGGTCCATTCCAAAATATCAAAGCCCAAATTAAAAGGTTATATCCCCGATTCAGTCCCTAAACTTTCATTTTTGGACTAAAAATACCCTCGAACTAAAAAAAGTACTAAAAAAATCCCTAAACTTCAATTTTTGAGACTAATTTCGTCCTTCCGTCGACTGAAGTGCCAGATGGCACGTTAAGTTGCCACGAAATCAAGTTTTTTTTTTTCAACTAATGACATGGAAAAACCACATGTAAAAAGTGTATGAGTTGGCATTTTATCTTTAAAATTACACAATTATCCCTTATCTTTAATTTTTTATATTTTTCGAAGTTACCAAAATGCC